TGAACTCATAATTCATTAGATACTTTTTATGAATGTCAACTAAGTATCGTAAGTTAAACAAGCTTTTATTATTATTTAAAAATTTTATTTATTGATCTTACAGTAAGGTTAGACTTACTATAACGTTCACTCTATATTTAAATTCGGGATGAAGTTGAATAAAAAATTTATTATTCGTCACGAGTCATAAGATATGAGTAGCGCTCGATTATATTATTTTAAATTTTTTAATATTTTATATTAATAATGAATATTTATTTTATATTATAATTGATAAATATTTAATTTTTTAGATTTATGAATTTTTTTATTTATTCATTTTCGACGCGTCAACATATAACTGTGAAGACTGCGGCTGGGGTGGGCAAGAAAGTCTCCTTACAGGGTAACCAAAAGCCAGGCTTGTGCCAAAAACAAGTGCGGTTTGTCTTTTTCAATGCCTAAAGCTTTTTAAAATCTATGGGACAACTCTATTACATTATTACGAGATGAAATATTTATTTGTAAATTTAATTATAAATGTATTATTTAAATTAATATATTTTAATTTTTTTAAAAAAAGGTAATTAGATGAAAAAAGCTTAATATAATATTGATATATATCATTTTAGTTATCTTTTCAAATTTTCCTAAATAGTTTTTACAAAGAAATTAATATAAGTTAAACACGTAGTATATGGTAATTAAGTTTTATTTTTAAAATAAAAAAAGAAAAAAATAAATAAAGTGAAAAAGATATAATAAACCAAAAGTAGATAAAGAGGTAAAAAACGTTTTATTTAATAAATTTAAATATTAGAATAATTTATAATTAAGTTCAAATATGTTCAAATAGTAAAATTATTTCAAACTTGATTATAAATAATATTTTTCATAAAAAAATTTTAATTACATGTATAATTTTTTGTTTATAAATTTTTCATAATTAATATAATACTTACTAAACTTCATCTATGGTTTAAAATACAATTTTAAACTTTAATTTATTTTTTTATTAATTAATTATGATTTATTAATTTAATTTAATAATATATATAAAAATTAATTTTAAATTTAACTTAATAGGATACATTTATTTAATCAGTAATGTCTATAATATTCAAGTTTCAAAAATTTAATATGAGTATTTAAAATATTTGAAAATCTTATTAAATAATAAGATTGAACTTAAAAGTACTTAAACATCCCACATGCCTGCCACATGTCACTTTTTTACTGGAATGTCACAGCGTTACCACGTTCTCACGTGCACATAAACATCCCCCAGCTTCCCACAGTATTACCCTGAGCAAAGTTGAATAGTTGATGCCCCTTTGATAATTGATAGTAGTAGTCAGTATTATTGTATTAGTAACCAAACAGCCGCCAAATAAAGCAGACAACGAACAGAAAAAAATTTGATACTACTGGAAGTGAAGCTAATGGCGGCGTTCTCAGCCACGATCTCCGACTCTTCACGCTTCCTCTCTTCCACTTCCTTGCCTCACGACGCTGCTAAGCCCAAGCGAAAGATCTCTGCTTCTTCTTCTCAATGCCGCCGCTCCTTCTCTCTTCCCAAACCTTTTCCTCTTTTCAGGTTTTTCGTGTTATCCACTTTGTTTTCTTTGCCCGTTTCTACTCGATTGATCTCCCGTTTGGTTCTCGGGAAATGTGAGATATCAGGAAATGTTTCTTAATGCTGTCCAAAAAGAGATTGCTACTGTAGAATGTAGAAGCCATACAGAGTTTGTGGTTATACTGGAAAGTTTAATGGCTATTGTGAAGTCACTTAAATGCAACCGTATGATTGGTTTTTGACCTGATTTATAGGGGGTTCAAACTCTATCAATAAATTTGATATCTTGAACTGATTTAAGGAAGCTAGGATCTAAAATTTGAGAGTGCCTAATGCTTGAGATATCAGGAAATGTTTCTTAATGCTGTCCAAACGATAGCTTTAACGCATAATTTTTTTTTTGGCTTTCTTAGCATATTTAAAGAGGTAAAATCAATTTGATTTTTGTTTTTATTTCGAAACTTAGCTTGGATTTCAATGAGATCAGAGTTGGACTGGGGTAGTAGTAGACTCAGGGCTAGATTGCTGTTCCTCCAAAATTTAGGCTCCTTTTGGTTGTTATTATAAGGAAAAAAAATGCAATAAATGCGTAAATAAACAGAATGCATGATCCTAGTTTAAACAATATGGATCAATTATGTTCTACATGTTGTACATTTTTACCTTACCTATTTGCTCATTTTAATCGTATATGATGATTATGCTTTTACTTTTTAGCAACTTTTAAAGAAGTAAAAAGCAATTAACAGACAGCTGCTAGTAAAAGTAACAACCGAATATATCCTTTGAGTTTGAGCAATCTCCGCAAAGAAAAAACCATTTCCATTTGCAGAACTTACATAATTGACAATCTGCATTATTTCTATCCTCCTTCAATATCGTCGCCAAATTGAAATGATCCCTTAACAATTACTACCTCTAATCAAGCATATCAAATTTCTAATTAAATAAACATGTCCTACTTCATAAAATGTTATGGAGTCTCCCTAGCTCTACTTTCTTTTGTTCCCTTTTTAGCAATATCACCACTTCCAATATTTAAGGCAATTGATGAGCTGAGTGCTCAAATATGTATCTGCACCAGAGACTTAACCCAATTCCAAGCAACATATTCATAGATTAATGGTTTCTTGAACGTGTGGACCCTTGTTTGTTTTTCCCACCAAAAGATTAGTCTAAACACTTTGGTAGGTCAACTGATGAAGGATCTGGGTATTTTTTTGGCCTTGTGTGCAAGCAAACGGTCCTTTGATATTCCAATTGGCTTGTCTTTTACTTTCAGTATTTTAATTAGACAATAAAGAGTTTATCTTGTTATCTATATTCCAGATTAAGTATTGTTTCTCAGCGGGGAAGAGGGAAGTCATTGAATATCTGTGTCCAGGCATCGGTAGCAGGTGTGTTTTATATTCTTTCTCTTTGTTGTGCCATTTATTTATGCTCTGTTTATGATTTTATTGTTAATATTTCCACATCAGACAAAGCATTGTCACTAAAGAATAGAATCCCTAGGTAAGACAAAGCAGTATTCCCAAAATAGAATCCCACATATGACAAAACATGTTAATAAAATGGGTTAGATATGCATGGTTTGATCTTGTTCCTATCAGTTAAACATTTGGGATTGTTGATTGTTTAACACTGTAATAATGTGAGGAGGGCATTAGGACCACTTTTTGTTTTACTCTTTAATGTTTTCATAATTTTAATATTTTTTTTCTTTCAGTTAGTTCCTTGATTCTAGATGACCTTCATGTTCTAGGGCCACATTGTTTTTTATGCTTGCATCAAAGGGAGAATGTTAAACAAAAATTTGAAGTCCACATCAGTCTTATTACTTGTTTGAAATGGTTGAATCACTCCCTTACGTTTATTTGTAAACATAACCTTTGTACTTTCTGATTTGTTCTTTTTTGGTCAATTCAATTTGGTTTAATTCAATCAAGTAAAACTGTTAACTTACTGATATCTCTTATTTTCCTTAATTAATTGTTGATGTGACAAAAATTAGGTTGAATTGGCATTAACATTGTAATAAACAGAATAAAAGATACAATTACTGCCCATTGTCTTTTACTTTTCTTCATTTTTTCTCTAGATCTAATACCAATCCAATTTTGGCTTTCAATTTTCTTAGCATAATTCCACATCAAAACAGTGCCATCTTTACCTGAGGTTCCCCTTCTATTTGTTAAACTACTCAATCAAACTATACACATTCCCCCAACAACTACAGAATGGACTTCCTCTTTAAAGGCCAGACCTTTTGTCAAATTTATTGATGGGCATCCAACTTAAATCCAAATGGCAATAGGTATATCCCATATTTGGTTAATGTGGTTTTATATAGTGACATGTTCTTCACATATAGAGATATGATTTTTTTTCATATGACATGGAGCTTTACATGTAGGCAAAACAAGCCTATCATGGAGCTTTACATGTAGGCAAAACAAGCCTATCATGGAGGAACCACAAATAGGGAGCTAGCGTAACTCCGATACTATGTCGTATTTTATAACGTGCATCCAATCTAAAACCAATTGGTAATAGTTGGAGAGGTCTCTCTTATATTGAAGGTTATTGGTTATTTAAAATGTAATCAATATGGGGTATATTTTTATAACTGCTTAACGCTACTATCTCCACAAGTGTCACTCAAATTTACATATTACAGTCTTTTATATGTTTTTACTTACGAATTTTAGTACTTATCTTCGCATCTTCACTCTTGCTGTTAGTTTTTGTGTTTGTTCTTGCTAGTGACCAGATTGATGATTGTGCCATTGCTGTGTAGGTATAGTTATTAGAGAAAAGGCCCTTTTCTTTTGGATTTTATGTGTTCTGATAACTTGTGTTATATACGTGTGTATGTATACGTGGTTATTGAATCTCTTCATTCATTGATTTAGAGGATGGGCTCTACCAAAATCAAGTATCACAATTTTAAGCAGTTGATCAGTTGTTTACTACTATCCATGAGTTCACAGCACCCAGCTTCCATTTTTTTTGGTTGCTTTGCATTGATCCTAGGTGTAGATTTAGTGGGTATAATTTTTGTAAGAGAGAGGCCTGGATCTGGTTTTGGATAACAAAACAGAATGAGTAAAAACAAGGAAAAAGATAAAGAAAAAAGTAAAGCAAAGGATAGTGGTTTTATTAGTTCTTTAATTTATGGTTTAATTATACATTTTGTACCAGAACGATAGTGAAATTGTCGATTTGATATCTGAAGAAAAAAATTTGCAATTAACTATTTCAACTTTCAATTTGTTAAGCATATTGCTCTTTTGAATGGGTGACTAGTCTATAAACACACAATTAGAATGTGCCATGTGTCTAGAAAATCACACCTTGCCATTTTTTTTTTTTTATAATTTATAATTTTTAACTTAAAAAAAGGACAAAGAATTGAGAAAAAGTAAAAATAAATAAAAAGAAAAAAAATTGAAAAAATGAGAGGGAAATTGGGGAGAGAGGGAAAGAGAGGAAAAAGAGGAAGGGAAAAGAAAGAGAGAGAAGGGAAGTGGGGGCCAGCCCACAGTCGGGCTGGCTTGAGGCAGATTGGAACTGCTCTGCCTTGGGCCAGGTAGATTTCACTGATCTGGCTGGAGCAAGCCAAATTGGCATGATCTGCCTTGCCAAAGGTAGATCAATATTGATCTACTGTTCTCTCTTTTTGTTTACCCTCTTTCCCTCTCTTTACTGTTTCTACCCCATGTTTTCACTCTCCTCCAGATTTTTTTAAAAAATTCTTTTACTAATTTTTTGAATTTTTTATTCACCATATTTTAGTTTTTAATTCCAAAAATTTCTTTTTTTTTTTTTAAAAGAAATGGTGTGTTGTTTTAGAAACGTAGTGCATAATTATTGGGTGTGTTTGGACATATCACACATGATGTAAATTGATGAACAAAAGCATAGTTCGAGTACTTAATTGATATATTTTTTATTCTTCAAGTACCAAATTGATAATTTCACTATAATTCAATTACTAAATGTGTACTTAACCCTGAATTTAATTTTTTTAATATTGTTGCCATGTCAGCTCAATTTTTGTCACGTCATCACCTTAGTGAAATAAAACAGGCAGAATCAGTCGTTATACATTGACACTACTAACAATTTTACTCAATTCAACTCAAACTGAAAGTTTGGAGACTAAATTTTCACAAATGAAAGTACAAGGATTGAATTTAATGTTATTTTGAGCTTGTGGAATGGCTAACTCTGGACTTTAACCAATAGAAAATATCTTCTCTGAAAAGCATTGTAATTAAGATCAGCTAGATATACATGATTAGGTACATTTCCTGTTAGCATAATCATGATATGTTATTCAAGACTGGTAAATTACATTTAAAATACATTTTCATCTTATTTTCCCTCTCATTTGCAGATATCTCGGTGGAGAAATCGATGGATACGGTTCATCTTTGCAAGGGAGACATGTGGGCTGTTCATAAGTTTGGTGGCACTTGTGTTGGGACCTCCCAAAGGATCAAGAATGTTGCAGATATAATTGTTAGTGATGATTCAGAAAGAAAGTTGGTAGTTGTGTCAGCCATGTCTAAGGTGACAGATATGATGTATGACCTTATCAACAAGGCACAATCTCGAGATGATTCCTACATCTCTGCATTGGATGCTGTCTTAGAAAAACATCAGTCAACGGCACTTGATTTGCTTGATGGAGATGATCTTGCTACTTTCTTATCTCAATTGCATCATGACGTTAATAACCTCAAAGCGATGCTTCGTGCTATATATATAGGTAATAAAATTCTGTGTGTGTGTGTGTGTGTTTTTCTGTTCATTACACTTAATAAAATTCGATAGGTTGGGTGGATAAGTGCATGTTTACATGTATGCTTATGCAATTTTGTGTAACCAAGGGTAGAGTTCTTAATGGCGGGCGAAAGTGTGTTTTTATATAATTTGGTAAAATGTTTTTCTTGGCAAGAATCTGACTAATCTGTTATATCTCATAAGAAAAAAAGTAATTGGTTAAATGAATTGTTATTTGTTTGTTTCTTTGTATGTAGGAATTAAAAGCCACTAGTGTGATTGTTGCCTGCTCAATCTATCTACCAACCAGTTGAAGTTTTTATTTTGTAGTTTTACCAAGTGCATTTGTAGTAGTGTTGTCTGATTTTTTTTTTTTCGTGGATAAAAACCCCCACTTCCCTAAGTTTTAATTGAAATTCCAAGCGGGTCCATTAGTTTTCAAAATGGACACTCCATCCCAAAAAAATATCTTCTGCTGAACACATAGATTCAGTCGTTAGTCAACCATTAATGTTTTTGTTAGTTTGATGACGTGACAATATTAAAAAGACAATTTTACCTTTTATTAATTTTAAACATTAGTATTTATAATTTTATCAATTTTTAATTAATTTAAAAAAAGGCTCCCCATCAGACTCTCCAGGGGAGCCCGATCAGGGCTTCCAAGGGAGCACCAGATCTGGTGCTCTATAGGGGAGTGCTGGGTGGTAGGCTAGTGCAAGGGACGTTGTCGGCTGACCTGAGAGAAAAAAAACAATGGAAAAAGAAAAAAGGGCATTTTAGACATTTCATATTTAATATTAACACCATTTAGACGTTTGGGGCGGAGTGTTCATTTTGTAAACTAATGGACCGGCGTGTAATTTCAATCAAAACTTAAGGAGTTGGGGATATTTTACCCCTTTTTTTTGCTTTCTCCCTCCCTCTGCCCTTCTTAACCAGGGGCATATTAATTTACCAGCACTTGATCTAAATGTTCAACCTTTGCTTTAGGAGTTATCCAATTACATTTTAATTGTATATGTAGAAGAACTCCCTTTCAACATTATTTGCTTTTATCATTTCTTTCATGTTTTTTCACGACAATTAATTAATTATGGGAGAGTTTTGTAAAGAACAGGAAATGCCATATACCAAGCGCTTAAAACATTTTTAAACCAGACTCTCAATATCCCCTTGTCAGTTAATCATATGATTGACCTTGATCTTATGTCTCACCTTAAACATCAAGCTTCTGACATTCATGATGCCTGAGATTCGTGTCCTTTCAGAGAGTTAACCTTGTTTTCCTGTCTAATCTCTGCTTCACTCCATAAAATATTTGATTCCATGGTTTGAGTAATACCCTCCTTTGAGATTCTTTGAACAACATGTTGTGCAAATGGGTGGTATAATTGGGTTCTAGCATCTTCATTTCTATGTCAATTCTTGGGCTGGTGTTTTTCTATGCAAAGTCATTAATGGAGCAGCTTTGATTACATGAACCTTAATTCTAATTTTCACTTTTTCAACCCCAAGAGTTTTAAGTTGTTTAGCAGTTACATGTTTCTGCAAATGATTATATGAAATTCACTTTACGTATTTGATTAGAAAAACAAATGAACTTGTTTGAAATTGTTGGTTTTAATTTAATTGGGCCAATAACTTTTGTCACTAAAAGTTTCTCAGTTTTAACTTTTCATTTTGCTTTAAGTGTTTCAACTTTTATTCTATTCAGACATTAACATTTGGCTCTTTGTCGCATCTCAACTCAGATAAGTCTTTTTAGTTGTCACTGCTTTCCAGGAGAGGAAGATGAAAAGATGTATTGCCTTTCGCTGTTGTGATGTTCTTATTAAGTTGTCTGTCCTTTCCCTAGTTAAATTCCTGGGCTTAGTTAGTCAAAGAATACCACATTCTTGTGTTAAGGTCATCATCAAGTCTTGAGTTCTAGATTTGAATTGTTGTTTAATCATTTCTATTCAAGTTTTCCGTTACTAATAGTTTGACCTCTTGACATGCTTTTGGTATTTTGTTTGTTTCTCTTGATATAGTATGATTAGTAATAATTTTTAAAGGAGTATTTCTTGTTATGTAAACTTACATCCTTAACTTTTTCCCCTTTTCAGCTGGTCATGTGACGGAATCTTTCTCAGATTTTGTTGTTGGACATGGGGAGTTATGGTCTGCTCAGATGTTATCATTTGTTGTTAAAAAGGTATGGCGGGTTTTTGATTGATACCACAAAAAAGTGTAAGCCAATTGTAATCTTTCGGGAGATTATTTGATGTATTATGAAATGGATTTTGGTACAGAATGGGCTGGATAGTAAATGGATGGATACAAGGCAGGTCCTTATTGTAAATCCCACCAGCTCTAATCAGGCTGATCCTGATTTCTTGGAATCCGAAAGAAGACTTGAAAAATGGTTCTCTCAGAATCCATCTAACGTAATAATCGCAACCGGTTTCATAGCCAGTACACCTCAGAATATTCCTACGACTTTGAAGAGGGATGGAAGTGACTTCTCTGCAGCTATAATGGGTGCCCTTTTTAGGGCTCGCCAAGTCACAATTTGGACAGATGTTGATGGTGTGTATAGTGCAGACCCCCGAAAAGGTAGGCTCTTGGCCATACATGTAGACACAATGCATTCATATCATTAACGCCCATTTTTGGCATTGTCTTTAGAGAGGTTAGATCTCATAAGTTTTTAATGTAGCTTGTTGTCCTCTACATTAATGTTTTCTTTATTTTTTCCCCCTCACGAATTACTCTAATCTATACACTATAATAAAAGGTGTTTGAGGTACTCAGCATTGTTGTGCCTTCTGCCATTTTGCTTTATTTTGTAACTTTGTTTTTACCTTCTTATTTTTCTCTCTTTTTAAAAGGAAAACCCTCAAAGCTCAAAAGTTCTCTAATTCCTACACTCAGCTTGGATTCTCCTCACACATCCTTGTCAGTTCTTATATCTCGCTGCTCATTTACTTGCTACAAGCAACCACACTTTCTACTTTTCTACTTTCATAAATTTCAAAGCTCCAACCACTGGTCCTATTGCCTTATCTTCTCTGCTAAATCCCCTAAGTTTTTGGATCTTGTCCTCAAGACAAACTACTTCCTTTCTGTTGGCTATTTCCTTCTTAAAATTGAAGGAATCCTTGCCGTAACTGTTAAAATCTTTGAAACCTAAAGTCAAATTCTCAAACACCCACCAAAAACTTTAAAGATCTTTAAAATTTTCACAAACTATCTGTAAATATTCCCCAAAGCCAATACCAGTCCATTCCAAATAATAGGTTACATGCAATAGCAACAAAAAAAACTCATCTCGAATTGCATTTGCATTCATCAAGTTCCGCATTCTACAACCCCTAATAAAGTTTGAAAAAAAGAGGTTGAAAACTGTAAATTTATGTATGCAAGGAGTAAAAAGGAGATAAAATCTGTTATAAACACAAATGAATAGATAAAAGATTTAAATGCAAACAGAGAGCAAGCCATGACAGTTGCTAACATTTACAGAGAAACAAGGATTCAGAACTAACGAGAGAAATTATGAAAGAAGAAAAATGTGGCCAAACATAGATCTGAGCCTTGATAGGAAGGGAAGAATTCTAAAAGTGGAGATGGATTGGGGGTAAAATCAACTGAGGGAAGAGAGAAAGTTAGGTTTAAAGAGTAAGAAGAGAAGAAGACGATAAGGTAAAAGGACCAGATGGAGGGAAAGAAAAAGAAGAATGGCTGGGTAAGGGTGAGCCGGAGAAGAAGATGAGGGAGGAGCAAGTGAGATATAGCCAAGAGTGTCTTGAGACTAGAAAGGTTAAAGTGAATGAATAAAGGAAAGGAATAAAATGAAAAAGGGATTATAAGAAATCAAATGGATAATGTGTGCAATGCCCATGTTGAGAGAAAATGGATTTGGATGCCCTATGAGAAAAGAACAAGGAACAAACTGAGAATGAATATAAAGGAGAAAATGGGGATCTTAAGAAAAAGAGAAGAACATGAAATAAAATTTCACATTGGGAAAAATGGCTAGTAAAGAACCAAAATAAAAAAAGAAAAAGAACTGCAAAGATCTATGCCTTAAGCTGTAACTAAGGTATTATAGTGATAAATATGACATGAATGGATTTTGCCTGTTAAAGGATAAATGAATTGTTGAAGGGGAGGGATTTAACAGCCTGGTTATTTTTTGGGGTTATTTTTTGCATTTTCGACTGGTAATTGTAAAAAACAACTCCAAAAACCACTCTAAAACAAAAAAAATAACCCCAAAATCAACCCACAAACCCAAAAGTTTTAGCCATGTCATCAGATATGTCAACATATTTGGATGTGTCATCGTGCCAGCTGGCATTTAACAGTTAATTTGCCAAAAACATAGATAAATACTTTAAGTTGTGGCATTATAAGTTTAGGGACCGATGCGTGACATTTTGAACTGTTGGGACCAATATGATATATGACCCAATCTTAGGGGACCATAGGTGCTATTTACTATCTAAACTTTGATGAAAAAGAGGCTAGCACATGCTGCCTAAACTAGTGTTGTTGAGGATTCCTTCTTAAAATATTTTTCCTTTAAAGACAATATAAATATGAGGTTTGACTGTAATGTTAAAGAAAACTCTTCTTGCAGTTAGTGAAGCTGTGATATTAAGGACGTTGTCTTATCAAGAGGCATGGGAAATGGTAGGCTTCACTGCTCCTTTTATACCTGTTAAAGTTGCTTAAAGTTGCTACATAGATGTTTCTAAGGTAAGTTAATGTGACCATGCAGTCATATTTTGGGGCAAATGTTTTGCATCCTCGCACCATCATACCTGTGATGCGATATAATATTCCAATTATAATAAGGAATATTTTCAATCTCTCTGCACCTGGGACAGTGATCTGCCATATTGAGACTGAAGGCGAAGATGGTCAGAGGCTAGAATCTCCAGTCAAAGGGTTTGCAACAATAGATAATTTGGCATTAGTAAATGTTGAGGGGTAAGTTTTCTGTTATGATTTTAGCTGAATGTATTTGGTCATGTTCTGCTGTAGTTTTCAACTTTATCATATTTATGCTATATGTTTTCATTTTGTTTTGGTAGAACTGGAATGGCTGGTGTTCCCGGTACAGCTAGTGCAATTTTTGGTGCTGTGAAAGATGTGGGAGCTAATGTCATTATGATATCCCAGGTTCCTACATTCTCTGATTTCAGTTATTGCTGTTGTTCTATGTTAATTTAGAATGCTTATTTCTGAAACTTGATGCAGGCTAGTAGTGAGCATTCTGTCTGTTTTGCTGTGCCTGAGAAGGAAGTAAAAGCAGTTGCTGAGGCTTTGCAGTCTAGATTCCGTCAAGCTTTGGATGCTGGACGTCTTTCTCAGGTGCTTTTCTTAGTTATATGACCATTGTAATATGGTTATACCATCTGTGCTTTTGGATTTATTTGAGCTACACTTTTAATGATCCAAGAAAACTTTTGAGTACCTAACTTTATGGGGCCTTTGTTCCCTTGCATCAATAGAGATGACATAGAGAGGGGACTGATTACTTCTTTTAAGCTTGAAAACTGTCTCATAAAAGTTAGCTATCTATTATTACTAATTACCAAAAGAAATAAGTAAAATTTGGACAAGTGTTAAATATAAGGAAAACCATTAACTCCCATATTTCCTTCTTTCCTATTTTTCTAGTATCTGCCAATACCTGTTTTAAGTTTGTTACAATCTTTTCAAAATCAGCTTAACATTTTCCTAAAACTAGTATTGTTGTGCAAAGTATCATATCTAGGTTTCTGGTTTTAATGTGGTTTGCGTTTGGCATCCATCCATTGACGACAATTGGTCTAATTGCCAGAGAACGGTGTGAGAAGCCACATCATTGTGAAATCAATTGAGTTTATCTAGATCTTGGGACTCTTGCCTCATAATTTCGAAGAAATGGAAATTAAAAATCCATACTGGTTCAAACCTCAGATAGTAGGTTGATTCAAAACCATGCATGACAAAAAGTGTATTTGACATCTTGCTAATATTTCTGCATAAACTAGATTGCTGTTTGGGGCTGTGGGCATTATCTAGCATGCTGGTTGCAGCATCAGGCTTGAGTGCACAGTACCAACAGAATTTGACACAGGTGTTGTGCCAACAGTATTAAGGACAAGTTAAGAGTATTTGAGTGCTTGTTCCATATCCCTTTTCTTTTTCAAGTATTAATTGCCTGTGAATTTAGTTTCCAGTACATGCACAGATAAAATTGCTAGCCTATGTTATCTATGTTGTCATCATGGGTTGAATTCTGCTTAGTGTGTTTTGTCAGCTTAAAATCTGTTTTAGTTACAATTTTTTATGGAAGGACTGGTTGAGTTTTTTTTTTTTCTTTAATTATTTCTTTTTGTCATTATGGCGGTCATATATTATCAATTTATATTTTTGCTTACTTTAGCATGGTCCTATTTGTCTACTTAATTAGCAGTCTTTTGCAGGTTGCAGTCATTCCTAACTGTAGCATATTAGCAGCGGTTGGCCAGAAAATGGCGAGCACTCCTGGAGTCAGTGCTACTCTTTTCAATGCTCTGGCAAAGGTAGAAAGTTCCATTTATCGTTTCAAACAAGTATTTTGTTTCTCACTTTGTTTATATACTTTAACCTTCAAAGCTTACTATATTCTTATTATTCCTCATTCCCCCTTCTCAAATCACAATACAGGCTAATATTAATGTTCGTGCTATAGCCCAAGGTTGTTCTGAGTATAACATCACAGTAGTTGTTAAGCGTGAAGATTGCATAAGGGCTTTAAGAGCTGTGCATTCAAGGTTTTATCTTTCAAGGACAACCATAGCAATGGGGATTATTGGACCTGGATTGATTGGTGGGACGTTACTTGACCAGTTGAGGGATCAGGTGCAGTATCAGAGATAGTATTATTAATTAATTGTCATTTTGCTGTTGCTAACGAATGATGGTATTTAAACATGCAATAATTTTGTTACTGATTGATTTTCTCCTATAAACACATTTCATGAGTAAATTCAAAATAACAGTAAAATCTGCAAGTCATTATCGCACTCGGTAATTGTATTACATATGTCCATAGCGACTAGTCTTTTGTATTAACCCTAGCAAATATCTTTATGAGTGATCTATCATTTTGGAAATTAGTGATGTAAGTGAGTTGAGTCGCTCACAAGGTACTCAATTTGATGTTTGTACTTGACTTGGCTGCGATCGGCTTTGAGTAACTGGAGTAGCTAGAACATAGAGTCGAGCTCAAGTATGGGAAATGAAGCTCAATGGAGCTTAAGTTGAGTGAAGTTAGTATTTCACTAGGCCAACTCGACTTGACCCTTACTGGAAGTATTTATATTGGTATGCAGTTTGTCTACGTTCAGATGGGTCCACGCAAAAGTCAGCTTTCCTCTTGAATAGCACAATTTAGTCATGTGACCTAGGTAGCCTGGGTTAGCTCTGGAGGCGGCAGTGTCGACTAGGGGTGAAATGTTGCTCAATTGTTATCTTATTGAACCTGAGCAAATGTTTAAATTGTTTTGTGCAGGCAGCGGTTCTTAAGGAAGAGTTTAACATTGATTTGCGTGTTATGGGGATTACTGGTTCAAGGACAATGCTTTTAAGTGAAGTGTAAGTCTTCATCATTCATAGAAATAATCCTACTGAAAAGATATCATGTATTGGAAAAAATATTTAAGATAAAGCTAGCTTGTTCGCTCTTCTTGTTGAGAAAAGAAAATTCTTGCAATATAATTAAGTTTAGTATTGTTATAACCATCATATACAAGCTTATGGGTAATCAATGTCTTTCTGTTCTTAGAGTCTGTGTGAAAAAAATGATTTCCACTAAATGTTATGGAATCGTTTCTATTCCATAGATTTAAAGCATATCAAGTTGTTGATGGAGATAACCAACTTCTATTCCAAACACATTCTTTAGTGTGAGTTGGTTATTAAATTCTAACAGAAGTTGTTTCTTTGAATATAATGCTAAACTTTTAAAAAGCCCATGCATCTTTAGTCTTATCTATTTGCACTGTGATGAGAGATTATATGTCACCTTTGACCTATAGCTGTTGGTATGGCTTGTGATAAATTAGTCCTTTAAATATTTCTTCTCTATGAATATGCAGAGAGTTCTTGGAAGCTTAGAGAAAGCCTAAAATTAACCATTTAGTTTGACATATCTGTGCACTACTGTTTAGAGTTTCTACTTTCTATTGCTTCAATGAACTTTCAAGGTGATTTATATTTGCTTCTTGTGTTATGCATTTTATTAGTTTACAGAATACTATTCAGTTTCCAATCTTCTCAGCCTTCCAACTTTTTTTTTCTTTCTTTTGAATCTTCTTCTTCTTTCACTTTTTTTTTTAAAATTTATTTTTATTCCCTCATTTGTATCACAAACCATATTATACCTTCTTTTACGTGTAGTTGTCTACAATATCATAAGTCTACATTTCATAGTTACATGGCCTCTGTCATTGTTCTTTGATTTTCTGGATTGCAATTTGTATTTTAATCTCTTTTCTCTCAGTCAGGTTCTTTGCAGCATAAATCTTCTTCTTTTTGTTGTTTTAATTTAGAGGTCTTTGCACTGTGTGTCCTTTGTTAAACTCACTGTTTCTCAATCAATTTAAAAGCTGGTACTTGCTGATGAATTGTTTATTATAATTTATAAGTTTTTGTTTTATAATATCCTGCCTTTGTTTTCAATTATTTCCAGTTCTGAATCAAATCACCATGTCTGAGTGACTCATTCATCTCTTGTTATAGAGGAATTGACTTGTCGAGATGGAGAGAACTTCTGACGGAGAAAGGACAAGTTGCTGATTTAGAAAAATTTGCTCAACATGTGCATGGAAATCATTTTATTCCAAATACTGTTTTAGTAGATTGTACGGCTGACTCTAATGTTGCAAGCTGTTACCATGACTGGTTGTGTAAAGGAATTCATGTGATCACTCCAAACAAAAAGGCCAATTCGGGACCACTTGATAAGGTAAAATTGATTTTGGAACAGTAATTTGGCCTAGTGGAACTCAAAACAGGTCAATCTTGAATTTGTTCATTGTTATCCTAAATTTATAGATCAACTGCTCCAATCATCCAATAACTCATTAGTGTCTTATATATACTAAAAGAATATATATAGACACACACACACACACACATCACCCACACACCATGTTTTATATGTTGGAGACATGTGAGGTGAATTGGGTGACTAGGTTCTTGCATGTTGTATATTAGATGGGATATTTGAGGAATTATCTATTCCTTGTAAATTTGTCCTACTAGTGGATGGTATTGAAGAAACAGAAATATATATATATATTTATGTTGGTATTAAATACAATCCAGGCTTGGCTTAACAATTGTTCCCTCTCTTTAAAGGAATAAGTTCCAAGGCTCGAACCCAATCCTTCATCGCTAAAATTAACAATGGAAAAATTCTGCTTCAATTAATTTGTGAATTTGTGTCTCATCCGCTTGTTGCTGATGTCACTTAGGTTAGGGCTTCAGTTTCTCCTTCTTCCTCTCTTTATTTTTTTCAGAGCTTTCTTCTTCTCCTATTTACAGCTCCCCTTTCCTAATTGTTTTCTGTTTCTTGGGGATCTATCTGCATTTTTCACACAATCATTGAAACATTAACCATGTTGAACTACTGGAGGACTAGGAGTTATTGTGGAAATCTGGATTTGTAGTTTTCTTTATTGTTAATCGGAAAGGGTCATCTGGGTTTCAATGTTGACTTGCCACATGTGGTTATATGGGTTGTTCTTGTCCCTTTTTTTTTTTCTTTTTTTTTGGGTGGGGTGGGTGGGTGGGGTTGGGGTTGTTGGGAGTTGGAGCTAACGTGTGTTTAGGTAAGGTGGTGTCAATGGTGGTTGTTGAGATGCTGGTAGTGGAGATGGTGAAGTTTGTTTGCTGTTGGTGACATGGTGGAATAAGAGATTCTAGAATGTTCAGAAAATGGTTATTGAGCCCATAGACTGATCCAAATTAGGGCTTCATTTTTTTTCCTTTTAGTTCCTAATCCGGGCATATTTGGTGTGATGCAAAATTTCTAGAGTGATTATTGAGCGCTTCATTATGGAAGTACTGATGGATTTCATTGGTTTTTGGTATGCCTATGAGTTGTTTAACAAAATTGCCTGGTACTTATTTCTAACTTATTTTGATGAAATGTCCATTTATGAGTTCTGTTTGGAGTAGAACTCTATACTTTGGTTTTGGAGAGTGCAAATACATTGAAGTTACTGCAGGACAGAAGGGGTCTTTTATATCATATGAGCCATAACAACAAACTAATAGTCACCTTAATGGATAGCTGATGATACAATATATTTGCCTTGCAATTGGAAAAACTCAAGCAGGTTGTGTTATTTTGAAACTAAATGGACTTATGATTAAATATGTGAAAATTTAAAAGGACTTCTATGTAATTAATAACCCTTTACTTTTTGCATGATACTTGGTCCTAGATTGCATGTATGCATATGGAGGTTTACCCTTGGCTCAGTGGTGCCAATTAGACAACATCATTTGATGCAAGTACAGCTTCAATGCATGCTTCTTTTCTAATTAATTTATGTGTTTGTATGTTTTAAGGTTGATTGCTGAGTGATTGAGAGTTACTTTTTCTTGTCTTCGTCACACTATCATGGAGGAAACTAGATATGGAATCACCAAATTTCCAATTAAAAATATATAGTGACTGCTTTGTTGTGCTCAGTATTTGGTTAGTGATGAGCATGTTGAATTTTTCTTGTATTTTGTTTGTTTTTATTTATTATATTTTATGGGTACTCCATTTTGGATGTGGGTTTAGAGAGGTAATTCTTCAAATAAGCAGTAGAGGAAAGGTGAGCTATATAAAGGAAAATCTTCTCTTCTCTAATTGAAGGTGTCAGTCACACTGATAGTGGGATTATTAATGGCCTGGTTTGTTTGTTGAGGAAATCGACTGTCAACATAAAATTTTTCTGGATTCTGTAATAAAAACATGGAATATCAAATCATTGGTATCTTCTAATAATGCTTTCACGAGCTCCACAGCCTCCTGCTAATCTATTGAGGAAGTGAGAAAGGTTCATATTTGGAAGTCCTCCAATTGATTTTCATAATTAGACCTCTAAGGTCAGAAACAGGCTTAAATTCCAATTATTTTGGCCTATTGAATGTAATAAGTCGAAAATGTCTAATTGATTTTGACTTGCTTGTAGAGTTGGTTTCAATCTGGAATAAAAGATTGTTGCTTGTAAGAGACAAATATAATACTTGTAAAGCTAAAATTGATCTTATTAAACAAAAGAAAACTTAATCTCAGTTTGCGGGAGAAACGTTTATATATTAAATGATGGGATAGGCTGCAACCACCGTCGATGTTGATGAACATGTGATGAAAGAAAGTAGCAGGGCAAATCTTTCGATTTTTGTTGCCTGATTTAGCATCTTTCTTATTCTCCTGTGGGATAGAGTTTCTCTGTTTTCTGACTATTTTGTTTGTGTGTGAATGTCTCTGTGTGTGTGTGTGTGTGTGTGTTTCTCCCCTGAATATGTATGCATACACAATAGCATGGCCTCTAACGACAGCTGCATAAATTAGAAATGGTTATCTTAGTGACTTAGCAAAATTGATTGCATTTTGTTTTTGCTGAACCTTTCTTTCTAGATTGCATATCTGATTACTTTTCTGATTACATTTTGTTTTACTGAACCTGTGTTTCTACTTCGTTGATATGATTTTTGTGTGAACCAAGTACCTAAGGTTGAGAGCTCTTCAGCGGCAATCCTACACACATTACTTCTATGAAGCAACTGTAGGAGCTGGTCTTCCAATTGTAAGCACTTTACGTGGTCTCCTTGAAACTGGGGACAGAATATTGCGCATTGAGGGCATTTTCAGGTGAGTCCTGTTTTGAGGAAACTAAAATTTGATCTTTCTCCACATGCATCTTTTGACATATCTCTTCTGCTTTTTTGTTATTTGTTGTAGTGGCACTTTGAGTTATATTTTCAATAACTTCACTGGCACTAGAGCCTTCAGTGAGGTGGTGGCTGAGGCAAAAGAGGCAGGTTATACTGAACCAGATCCAAGGGATGATCTGTCTGGAACAGATGTCGCAAGAAAGGTAAAAGTGTTCATTTTTTCTTTGTTACTTTAGTTATATAGGTAAAGAAGTCAACAATGTTTTAAAGTATATTCCTGCATCTTGTCACTTATCAAACTGTGAGTATAGGTGGTAATTGGGCAGGTCAGGTTAGGTTCAGGTTCAGGTCGGGCCATTTTGGGTCAACTAAATTTGAGTTATTCCAGATTTTGGTCGTGTTGCATTTGTGTCATCTAAGGTTTAGGTCATCTTAGAATCCAATCATCCAGGTTTAAGTTGTTCACTTTTAAAGTCAACTTGGGTTAGATTGAGTGTGTCATTCTGGTTGTATTAAGTTATTCAAGGTTGCATATCATTTGGGGACACACCTCCAATTTTGATATATTATATCATAAAGATCAATTAAAAAAATAATCTTTCAAAAATGACCAAAACAAAGTAAATAGAAAGTAATTTACTAATTTAGAATTATTTTTTAACCAATATTAACAATTTGCCTTCAAAAAAGTCATTATCAATTTTTGATTGATTAATATGTAATATTAATCTTTATTTCACTAATTATTAATATTTAGTTTACTGATCATTAACTAAATTTACCATGAATTATGGTTAGTGCATAAAAGGTCAACCTAACTCCAAAATTTAGAAGTGGTGTTAATTAGTTTCTTGAATTTTAGAATTTTGTTGAGAGTTAAGGAATGAAAAAAGTATTTGAATATAAATATAAATAATGTTAGTTGTATATAATTAAAATTATAACTTTTTAACAATAAAATACATGATTCTTGTAATAAAAGAGTTACAGAAGAGATTTTATATTTTTAGTTGTTTTTAAAATTATTAGTAGAATAATAGTTAGTGTTATCTTTATTGTTTTTTATCAAATTAATATTTAAAAGAGAAACTTCAAATTATATTCAATTTTAACTTTGGGTTCGATGGGTTCAGTTGTTGCCTTTTTGTGATCAAATTGGGTTGGATCAGATTCAGGTTTGGGTGGGCTTCTGGGTTTGGTTGAATTTTTCGTGCTTTATTTTTGAGTTAAGGAGTTGTTCATCAAAGCATCTTTCTAATTGGCACCAGCAGAAGAAATGTACAGAAAAGTAGACTTCCTTGACCATGGAATTTAGTTTGTCTCAAAATTCTGCTTTCATTCATCGTAAACATTCATAGAGATTTTATTTTTAGCTTAGCATATTACTGGTCAATAGGCATTAAGTGGAATGATGCCTTCTGATATGAATAAGCATGATGGCTTTCACTGTCCTTTCTTGCATATTATAGTTGCTTCATGTTTATGCACATTGCAGTTGTATGAGATTTGGCTCATAAATTGATTTTCATTCTGTAGGTGATAATTCTTGCCAGAGAATCCGGCTTGAAATTGGAACTTTCTGATATACCTGTTCGGAGTCTGGTTCCAGAACCATTAAGAGTAAGGATTGATTTTCCTCTTTTATAAAATAGACTCAAGAATGCAAACATTAATGTGAGATTTTCATTTTCTTTCCCTTTGCAGGCTAGTGCATCTGCTGAAGAGTTTATGAAGCAATTACCTCAATTTGACGAAGACCTGACAAAGGAGAGACAGAACGCTGAGGAATCAGGGGAAGTGAGTATTCGTTTTTTGTTTTGTTTATTTTTTCCTGTATTTCTACTAGTAGAATAACACTGCAACAACCCTTTCAACTGTACCCATAAATGCGGATAACCTCTGTTTTAAAATGCATTAACTAGGCATGCTTTGAGATGTGCCTCAATGCAAGGTGACAAGTGATTTGGCTTTTAAACAATGGTGCTTTGAGGATGATATCATTTCATTTTTCAAAGTTAATCAAATATTGGCTGTTTATGAAAGAATTGCACCTTCGAATCACATCGAAAAGCACAAAAATGAAAGTGGTGAGGTATACAATGCAATTGAGCCTATTTCTCAACTGTTTACACAGGCATGGAGCCTGTCTTTATCAGTTGCATTAAAATTAAATATATATTTTTTATACAAAATCTATTAACCTCTTATGACTTTATGATCATTAGCTTTTTCAAAAAATACTTTGAATTTTATTCAAGATAGATATTTACATCTTTTATATTGTTCATGTTATTTATATTTATTATAATTACTAACTGTAGAATTCTGAAATGCTTTTGACTTTCCTCTTGCTTTTGCCTCGAAAGTTTGAAGTTGTAGGTGATAAATCTACAAAATGAAGGAAGAAGGTTATTCCTTAAAAAAAGGATGAAACAGTTAGGTTTAAAAAGACGTTAAGGACCCTATTATCAAATCACACTATTCAAAAATGTAATGGAGATGGATGCCTGCATTAGAGAACCTTCCCAAGGTCATTCTAGTTGGAAATTCGTGTTTACAATCTAACCGATGAACTCTATTAGGATTCTGCTATAAAGTTAATCATCAAAATTACTGGAGTTTTGAGGATGTAAGGTTTGCGTATATGAATATATATGCTGTGATAGAAAGTTTCTCGGTAGGGAATGCCTAAATCCATTTCGAATCATTGTTTGACAGGTCCTGAGATATGTTGGAGTGGTGGATGCTGTTAATCAAGAGGGACGTGTGGAGCTGCGAAGATACAGCAAAGATCACCCATTTGCGCAGCTCTCCGGTTCAGATAACATCATAGCTTTCACAACTACAAGGTACAAGGAGCAGCCACTGATAGTCCGTGGACCAGGTGCAGGTGCCCAAGTAACAGCTGGTGGAATATTCAGTGACATTTTGCGGCTTGCCTCATATCTTGGCGCACCATCTTAGGGAAACCGATACCTTCCAGACCCCAGTTTCTCGTCTTCATCTTACAGCCAGGTGGGACGTGGTAGTGTTTTAAGCTGTAGTTTTTATGTAATCTTATTGGAGTCTGAATTTGCGCATACAACATATCTTTGGAGACTGCAATAGTGATAGATTAGTGTTGCTATGTTGTTTTCGGTTGTATCAACGCACTAAGTTTGTAGAGAATGTAGCCATGCCCTATGAATTGTGGAAGTGCAATTCAGTAGAAGAGTGTGTATGGCGGCTCCTTTGCCTCTTTTCCTGCCACTTGGGTTAATTCAAGTGGTAAAGGTGAGGTTGAATTTAGGTAGAGATCTCGAATGAGTTGTAGTGCTCTACTCTTCTATTAGAGAATAAAAATTATGTTAATTTTAAATTGATTTTTATTCTGAAATTATAAAAATTACTTAAAATAGAGTTTGTCTTAAAATTTTCATTTTCATAATCTTTTAAATAATTTCTTTGAATCTTAAGAAATATTTAAAATCTTATATTACTCAATGAAATTTAAATTAGGATTTCATCAAGTATTTACGAAAACAGAAAATGTTTTTTGAATAAAGAAATTTCAAATCAAGAGAAATTTTTTATGAAAGTTGCAAGGATCGATCTCAAGGGTTAAGAGGTCGACTCATTTTGGACAGAAGATAATTGATCTTCTATGACCAGTTAGGGATTGATTTCATTCTTTGAAAGTTTAAATTTTTAAATTGTATAGTCTTAAAGGAAATATGAACTTAAAATTGAGTATGCACGTGTTATTGATCTGAATGTTCATGTTAATCGTGTAAACTACTTATAGTTTCGTATAAATTTTAATCGAGTTAATAATGTAAACAAAATCATGTCAAATTTGACATGTTTAATAAACATTTTAATCGTACTGTATCATATTATACATTTATTAAATATGTTAACATACGTGTTTAAGATCTAAAATTAATCGTGTTGTGTTTATTTATAAAACTATTAATACTTTTATATTTATATGATAAGATTAAGATATGGAAACACGAATTATCAGGTCTGACAACAATAAATAGAACTAACCTAACAGCTCAAAATTATGAAGTTTCTTGACTAAGAAGCCACAACCAAGCTTCTTGACTTTGAGTAGCTTTTGCATGGTTTGAAATACAAGTTGCAAAACTTCAATAACATGAACATAAATCTGATTGAAGGGGGTAGTGCCAATTATGAAAGTAAAATCCAAGAAAGAACAAGAGAAACTGCACATGTTTCAAGTGTGAATTAAGCCCTGCTAAGAAGTTTCCTTTGGAGAGAGAATTGTTTCTTCTCTTCATTAATTGATTTTGGGACGGAGGAAAAACTTTGAATCTCTGAAGAACCTTACAATTGTCTCAGCTTTCTCAGCAGAAAGGTCTGTGTTTTCCACAATGTATTCCTTTGATGCTTTAGCAATCCCTTCAATTGAACCAATTGCTTGATATAGCTGAAAAAGACAACCAAGGGGTTATTCAACCAAGAACACATAGAAAACAACAGAATGCCCCTAGTCCTTGATAGGAACTTGCAGTACTTGTTATAAATTGTTTGGGTCATCTAGGGCCCCAAGCACAGATATGCATGAAGCTATGCACACAAGCAAGAAAGCTTTCCAATGAAAGAAAGAAAGGAATAAAAGAACATTGAACATGGTGGATGCATTAAGGTCAACTGAAATACCGAATTTGCGTCATGGTTATCAATCCCTGGTATGGCTGTGACCACTCTAAGAAAATTTTCCATCCACTGGACTGATTGATTCCTCTTTGCATGCAAGAAAAGAAAAAACAAACATTGAAGGGAATAGTGCAGTTGGAATCTTTGTCAATGGATTATGCTTCAAATACAATGAAAACAAGCAATGATCTGCTAACAGACCTCAGCTTTCAGTTTTGATTTAGCCTCCTGTTGTTTGCAAACTGTATAGTTACACAGTAATTTATTATGTTTATCACTTCAAAGATAGCATTCAAGTGAACTTCAGTGGATAGGATCTTACCTCCACAATAGTGGGCTATCTTCACAATCTTTTCAAATCCCATCTCAATGTCTTGAACTAGCACAAATGTTGGTCTACCGAGCTGCATCTCATACCTTCAACAAATCATAAAAGACATTCAAAAGAATGGTAGTTAAAATAAGAAGAAGCAAAAAAAAAATGAAAGGTAGTTTCATAAGAATTACTTGAAGTAAGAGCGCACAAAAGAATCATTTTGCTCCCTAGTTGGAAGGTTTACAACAACATAGAGATGAGCAAACTGTACCTTCAGTTTTTTGGCCCTGTACAAGTCGGATTGAATGAATCAGAGGATGATGCTAGAATTTCAAACAAGACCAACTAATATATACTTCACCTGCTGAATATTGTTTCAACATTGCAGCAATCCCAGTGCGTAACAAAAATAAACGCCACTGACAATCCCCCACAGTTGAAAATGAAGTCCTACACATAAGAAGTTGCAGCAGATGAGTGGCAAACCAATATGACACCAAACAGGGAATTGAGAAAGGAAATAATTAGGAGAAAAAGAACAAAGCGGAAAGCAAAATACTGGGGAAACTGGGACAAAGGTAAGGCGGTAAGAATTTGCAGTGAGGAAGGAGGAGATGAAATTGATGAAAGATGGGTGTTGTTTGTCTCTCCACGAATTGTTCATCATGCAAACCCCAGCAGAAACTGCAATTATAAAACAAGTCACTAAGCCCATAGTTGTGCTTGTGAAGTGTTCCCTCCCATCCCAACAGTACATACATAGTACAACTGCAAGTGAAGAGAAACGATTGTACAAATATTTAGCAGAGAGCTGATGGATTAATCCACTTATTCTCAGAGGAAACATGGAAGACCAGAATAGATAGGCCAAGTAATTAAGTAATCATGGAATGTACTTGAGGGACACACATTCACATTCACTACTAAGTACAAAAGCTGACATTATATTGTTCATATATAGTAATAGTACATACTGCAAGTGTAGTGAGCAGAAATGGTTGGACAAATATTTAGCAGATAGCTGATGGATTAACCCACTTATTCTCAGAGGAAACATGGAAGACTAGAACATACAGGCCAAGTGATGAAGTAATCCTGGAAGCTACTTGAGAAGCATTCCCATTCACATTAGGCTAAGTAATAAACTAAACATGGAAGCTACTTGAGGAACATTCACATTCACATTCACATTCACTACTCAGTAATAAAGCTAACATTATACTGTTCATATTTAGTAATGGCAGGCACAAAAAGAAAAAGAATGGTCACTCTGTTTGATCAAACAGAAACTAAGTTGACAGCAGCAGTGCAGTGTGGTTAACATGGCCAAGCCAACAGCAAACAAAACAAACTTATAATACTTTAAAAACCGCAATGTTCAATCATCCTTTACTCCATTTTCATGCGCTTCGCTTTCTCGGGAAACAAACAAAAGACCAGCACTCCATATGTGAGTTTCTACCTGAACTCTTTGTAACCTTGGAGGATGGGTTTTGGACCGTTGGATCCATGTAGACTGCTTTCATATTCGCCATCTGCAAAAGATCGAAGCACGAAAACGTTTTGAATCTTTCAGTCGACAGATAAAAGAAAAACCCACTGAATCTGAAACAAGAAGAAAATTCAAAACAAGTAGCCTGTCTCACAGTGATGAGAGCACAGAGTTCTTTTGCTTTTATTGTATTATTGTTATATAATGGTGAACAAAATCATTCTAAATCAAAAAAACCGATCGAATCAAAGTGAGTTCGATTTTCTTTTTCGGCTAAAATGATTTCGATACGTTTGATTTTGTAAATTCGATTATTTTGATCAATTTGATTCATGGTTATGACTAAATTTTTTGATTGAATAAACCAAATAATCGAATTTAAATTATTATATATATTAATATATTTTAATTTTTCCGTTATTTAGTAAAAATATATTACATTTAAAATGTTGTTGAATTTAATTAAATATGTTAAAATTTATATTTATATATTATTTTAAAATTTAATAAAGTATTGTACGACTTTCTGAAACTGATGAAATAGATGGAAATAGTTTGATTTTTGAATAATTTAATTAAATATAATAATTCGGTTTTTACTTGCAAACTATAAATTCAATTTTTTCGATTTTTGAAATTTTAATATTAAATTGATTCCATTCTGTGTATATTTACTATGGTACCACTATTTTATTTTCATAAATTTAAAAGAAGTATTATTGAAATAATAGTTAATTTCAGAAATTAATTTTAGAAAAAAAGAAAATTACTATTATCTATATATATATATATATATATATATATACGATATTTGAAAAAAAAAATTAAGTCAGGCAACAAAGCTTTTTCCCGCCTGACCAGCTGGATGAGCTTCAATGGAGAGTTCTTGTTCAAACACCATGAACGTCTCCTTCTACTAATCAAATCTTGCTCTGCTGTTCCTTCCCTTAAAACCACCAAGCCTCTCCATGCCCTCGCTATCACTCTCGGCCCTTACACCTGCCAGCCCATCTTCGTCTACAACAACATCATTTCTCAGTATGCGTCCCTTCGTCATTTATCAGCCGCACGCAAAGTGTTTGACAGCATGACTGAGAGAAACCCAGTATCATTTAATTCGATGATCAGTGCCTATGGTAAATGCGGGGATGTCTGGGAGGCTGGGGATTTGTTTTCTATGATGCGGGGCTATGGGTTTTTGCCTACTCCTTTCTCGTTGGCCGGACTGTTGTCGTGTCAAGCATTGGATCTTTGTGGTGGAAGTCAGTTGCAAGCATTGGTTGTTAAAAATGGACTGTTCGACGCTGATGCTTTTGTGGGTACGGCTTTGTTAGGTCTGTATGCAAGGTCTGGCTGTGTGTCTGAAGCAGTTCAGGCATTTGAAGACATGCCAAGGAAGAGTTTGGTGACTTGGAACTCGATCATTTCTTTGTATGCGCATTATGGGTTGGTTGAAGATTGTATGCTTTTGTTCCGTGAGCTCCTAAGGCTGGAGGCATCTTTGTCTGACTGTTCATTTGTTGGTGTTTTGTCTGGATTGGAAGGTGAGCTTGATTTGGAATTTGGAGAGCAGATACATGGCTTAGTGATTAAAAGTGGGTTTGCTTATGAAGTAACAGTTGCCAACTCTCTTATTAATATGTATGTGAAATGTGCGCGCATCTGCCTAGCTGAAAAAGTCTTCCAGGGCATGCATATAAAAGATGTTGTGTCATGGAATACAATTATTGGTGCACTGGAAAGGGACGGAAGTCCTCTAAAAGCTTTAGATTTCTTCTTTCAAATGTCCATGGATGGAGTGATGCCTAACCAGACTACCTTAGTTATTATTATTGCTTCTTGTAGTAGTTTGCAGATCCCAATGTTAGGAGAATACATTCATGCCAAAACAATCAAGAAGGGCTTTGAATCTGATGTATTTGTAGGTAGTGCACTTGTTGACTTTTATGCCAAATCTGATAAATTGGTAGATTCCCACCAATGTTTTGATGGTATATATGAGAAGAATGTAGTTTCTTGGAATGCTTTAATTTTGGGTTATGCCAGTAAATTCTGTCCTAGTGCTTTTTTACTGCTAGATATGCTGCAACTGGGTTACCGGCCAAATGAGTTTACCTTTTCTGCTATTCTGAAATTTTCAGTGACCATAGAGTTACAGCAGCTTCATTGTTTGATTATAAGAATGGGATATGAGCATAATGTATATGTATTGAGCTCCCTCATGACCTCATACGCTAAAAATGGTCTCCTATCTGATGCCCTTACTTTTATGACAGATTGTGAAAGACCACTTGCCATAGTGCCCTCTAACATTGTTGCTGGAATTTATAACAGAGTAGGCCAGTACCGGGAAACACTAAAGCTGCTTTCTGTTCTTGAAGAACCTGATGTTGTGTCTTGGAATATCGTGATTGCAGCATCTGCTCACAATGGCGACTATAAAGAGGTTTTGGAACTATTCAGACACATGCAGATGACTCAAATGTATCCTGACAATTACACATTTGTTAGCCTTTTATCTGTTAGTAGTAAACTTTCCAACCTGGGTTTGGGTAGTTCTGTTCATGGTCTCATTATAAAGACTGATTTCAGTCTTTGTGACACATTTGTTTGCAATGTACTTGTAAACATGTATGGAAAATGTGGATGCATCAAAAGTTCAGTGAAAATCTTTGATGGAATGGCTGATAGAAACCTCATCACCTGGACTTCTCTGATTTCAGCCCTTGGAGTCAATGGTTATTCTCATGAAGCTTTGGAAAGGTTCCAAGAGATGGAGTTTCTGGGATTTAAGCCTGATGGGGTTGCTTTTATTGCAATCTTAACTGTGTGCAGACATGCTGGATTAGTGAAAGAAAGCATGGAATTGTTCAGGAGAATGAAATGCGATTATGGGCTTGAACCAAAAATGGATCATTATCATTGCATGGTAGACTTACTGGCTAGACATGGAAAACTCAATGAAGCAGAACAAATTATTGCCGGTATGGCTTTCCCACCTGATGCCCTTATATGGCGTAGTTTCCTTGAAGGATGCAAGAGACATAAAACTGTAGAAGATCTATCAACTGGACATGGAGTTGTAAAAGTTGTATAATAAATTACTTTTTGCTAGTGACTTGGGGCTATCTCGGACTGCAGAGTTCTGAATGTATCTTTTCTTGAGTCAAGTAGCCTCATAACTTGCCTGACACCAGATATGCATGACGAGGTTCACTGGACATAAAGTTTGCCTTGGAAAAGCAGTATTTGGTATGAAGGCAGTTGCATAGGCTTTCCAAACAAGAAAGAGGAATGTGAAAATCTTTAAAAACTCTTCTCTATAAACTCTAGCATGGAACTTCACTTGATCACGTGCATCTCCCTATTCTTTCTTGCGTATGTCCAAGCCATGGCCTCTCTTCTGCTCCACCTGCTTTCATAAGGTAAAAATGCATATTTCGTTACTGTAGATAATCAACCTTTTCCCTTCCTGCAAAATAATAAAAGTAAATGCAAATTCAATTTGGTGATAGAATTCATGATGTGTTTTTCTTTTTTGGCCAAAGATGGAATTGATAAAGCTTGTTGTATACAATATCTTCAATTAATTAAAGTTAAGATGATAAAACTAATAATGATAAATCATCATTTATCTATCTATTTGCATGAAATTGTTGTAGTTGGATGACATTGCTAAGTTATCTGGTTGTGCTAAACGTTTTACACCTTCATGAAAGGTATATAATAACATGGAAGAAATCTGATTTGAGGCAAAAGTTATAAAAAATTAAAAAGGGGAGAGGGAAAGGAGCATAGAAGAGAAAAATTTTCCCATGTACAGAAGCAAAAGAGATCTTGCTAAATCAGGTACAAAAACTACAAAAAAGAAGGCTATTGAAGTGAAAGAGTATACCCTTTAACAACCGAAGCTTGATGCAGAATTCCAGAAAAAAAAAAAACCAACACTGACTCGGGAGATGAGATATCCCCTGTCCACTCATAATTCACAAATTGCCAGCATGAGAATAATCTCCCATTAAGACAGCCTCTAGATTTTTCTACTTGTATTCCTTTTGTGAGCCACCTGACTGAAATCCTACTCAACTTTTGTTAGTTTCTTAGAGGGTCTATTTTAATTTTCTTCTTAAGCTTCTAGTGACATCAACCGAAGCTAACCTCATATCTTGTCTGCCTTTAAGATTAGCTTGTACACTTTACCAACACCCCAACACCCGTTTTCCATCACACACTGAATTCCAGAATCCAGTGAAATGAAAAAAGGAATGGTAAAATCTTTCAGGCTGCAGTATCAGATAATTCAACCTGAACTGCACCCGTTGTAATATAAAACAAAATAAGTCTTTCCAGACAACTTACGGTCTTTGAATTTTGATACAATTGTTTCTTGAACATGAAATTTCTAGATTCACCTTATTTTAGTGCTTTTGCAGCATCGATGAGAAGTCTCAATGGAAAGCAGGTACTATTTTTCAGGGTTAATATCCTGCTGCTGAGTTCTTAATTCTCCTTCATGAGTTCTTTCACATCTAAAGTACGCAGACAGTCACTGAAACACATTCATTTGTGAAGAGATAGAAGAAGGGCAACTAAAAAACTCTGGTGGAGAAAGAAATAGCGCCACCAGTGCAGAAGGTACTTTTCTTTTCTGCTTAAGAATAATCACAATAAAATTTGTACAGCACATTTTCCTTGGCACTTGTTTCTGGTTTCAACTCACATGATGTTGCAGCATGGACCCTGAAATGATCTTTCTGTAATCACAACGATGTTTCTGTCGTGGCCAGGAGGCAACTATGGATTGCGTAAGAGAAGGATATGGATAAGCTTATTAACATGAACAACTATAACAAGTTGGAAAACCAAGTTGCTTCATCACCCCACATATTCTTAATCTCCTCCATGGATCATTGGTGCAATGATGCTTTGAATCGTTTTATATGATTGAGTAGTTCAACATGGGAAATCAGGATGATGGAAGGCAGCTACTGGAAACTTCATCGGATGTGCTCAAGCTCACTTGTAAAGTGTATACCACTGTCCAAACTGTAGCTAATTAAGCTGAAGTAACTGTTCAGTGGAGCAACTTTTAAATTTTACCTTCAATGTAAAGATAGAAATCTTTATTAATTTCTAGAGTGTTCACTGTTTGCAACTTTTACCAGTTTCAGCTGAGAGATTGACCCAAATCACAGAGCCAGATGGTTGGGATTGACCCTGGCTTTAATTAAGAATAATAACAGATAAAAAGGAGCATACAGAGGTTTAATAATTGCAGTCAGAAATTGGAGGAGCAAATCGAAGCAAATAAATGCTATCAGCAGCACGAATGGTCTGATTCTTCTTAATTAGGAAACAAGGGAGATTTACTGAAATTTCGACTTCCAAACTGTTTGAATATAATTTTTGTTAATTATAATATTTGAAAAAATTACTAAATTATTAAATAAATATTTATTATTTATTATATTCAATTAAGTCTTTAAATTTTTATTTTAAATCGAATAAACTTTAAACGACATTTGTTATTATATACTTATGTTACATTAACATAAAACATAAAACAGTAAGGTAAAGTATGCTTGCATCTTAAATTTTAATTTAAATTACATGAAGATTTATTAGTTTTTAAATTAAACATTTCACTTCAAAAGTACAAACACCATTAATAGAAAGGGAAATTTTTTTTTAGCCCTTTAATATAAAGTGTTTTTGAAAGTAACTCTTCAGATAATTTTAATTGTTTTAAACCAAGAGAAGAGATTTTGGGATAAAAATGCCCTTAATGAGACATTTTCATTGACGCGCACTCTCACACAAGTACAAAATGGGGAAAATAAATTTACAAAGAATTTGTTCTCTTTAATCTTGTGCAAAACATCAATTTTTTCATTCGAGAAGCTTGTGCAAAACAAAATCATGTTACAGAAGATCGTTTTTCAGATATTTCGGACATGGTATTCAGATAATACGAGAAAGGTGATATTAAACTGAGTAAGGAACCGGTTGTGATGAATCGAAAGCTTCGAGAATTATGTGAAACCAGAAATCTTTGATACGATGGTTAATCAAAAGGAGAAAGATGTGAATCCAAAAACATTGAAGTGGTCGTGCTACAGCAGGCCATATGTGACATGGCTATGTCACGGCAAGGTTTAGAGTTTGTGAAACGGTATGGTGGGAATGTGTGACACGCCATGGTAGGAATGTGTGACATAGCATGGCGGGAATGTGTGACATGTTATAGTGAGAATATGTGACACGGTTGTGATACGACAAGGTTTAAAGTTTGTGACACGGTAGGGTGAGAATATGTGACACGACTCAGAAGGAGTATGTAAGATGACATGGTGAAAATACATGACACGTCAGTTTGAGAATGTGGGACGTCATGGTGTGAATATGTGACACGCCATGGTGAGAATATACGAGATGGCATGGTGAGCATATATGACACGTCTGTGACATAGCAAGATTAAGAATTTGTGACATGCCAGGGAAAGAATCTGTGACACGGTAGGGTTCAGAGTTTGTGGTATGCCATGAAGGGAATCTGTGACATAGGAGGGTGATAATATGTGAGACGGCTTAGTGAAAAATGTGACACGATTGTGACATTGCAGGTTTAGAGTTTGTGACATGCCATAGTGAGAATATGTGAGACAGCATGGTGAGCATATGTGACATGGCTGTGACACGATAAGGTTTAGAGTTTGTGACTAGCCATGGAGGGAATCTGTGACACAACAAGGTGATAATGTGTGAGACGGCACGGTGAGAATCTGTGACACGACAGGGTTTAGAGTTTGTGACACGTCATGGTGGGAATGTGTGAGACGGCATGGCTTGAATATGTGACACGTCATGGTTTAAAATATAAAAAAAATGCAGATAAATAACAAGAAAATCGTTTGAACTTCCACTACATGAATGAATATTGTAAGGCCATTTCATTTTAATTATATATTTTTCAGAAGTCACAAACATCTGTGTGAAGGAACTAAGAAAGTTTAATTTTCATTTATTCCTCATTCCCAAAAGGACCAACGTATTTAACTTCGTTCTTTGCAAGTTGAATGACATCACAACAACAATGTCAATTATCAGTGAAAAGGTCAGTCAATCTCAAATTAAAACTTTCTTCTGTTCATTCATTTTTTGTTAGGTTGTTGTGATATGTTCGTATTTTTGCATTTCCTATGTTTTAACTATTTTCTTCTTGGTTTTATGGTTTTTGGGTAAATTGTTGAAATGGAGAACTACAACATTTTTTTTGCTGACATGGTTTATGGTCATACCAAAGTTTTGAAGGGGGTCTACGTTTGTATATCATGTAACATGAACTACAACACTTAATTTGACGTGTAGTGGGTTAACTGGTTTTTGGCCTTTTTAGCTTATTTTCTAGGATTTTTAGCATGTCACCACATTGGGTATTTTAGGGTAGTTTGTGTAACGAATCAGTAATTATAGTGATTGGCTTGTCATGACACGCCACGGTTGGTGTGTCACCACACTGCTTAGCATTGGCATGAAACAACATTTCACTTGATATGCTTAACGTGTAACAACATTTTACTTGATATGCATAACATGTAACAACATTTGACTTGGCATGCATAGCATGTGAAAACATTTATTTCTTTCTTCAGTATACCATGTTGCACATTATGGGTTAACTCACTCGTGCATGTGTGCCATGTTTTGCAGATGCAGTCTAGATAGTACGATGATCTTGATAGTTTGCTTGTTGTGCCAAGGGAGAAGTGGGCGTTTAAAGTCTCCATTAACGCCCACTGTAAGTGGTTGCAACTGCATTGCATCAACAAAACTCTCCTTGAGAAAAAAGGAGTACGATGCAGTCAAGCGTACGTGCTTCGGAATGCTGTTGGACGTATATCCACAAGGCTATTTTTGCGCTGGTCTCTTGCTTAACATCATTATTTGTCGAATCATTGAGACAGAGCCAATAGACCATGAGCTAAGGTTTGCCATTGGCAAGAGTAAGTCGGGTATATCAAAGCAAGAGTTCTACCTTATCACTGGACTCAAGTTTCGTCGAATGCTCGTACATCCAGCAAGACTACGGTAGACGGGTGATGCCTTGACTCTGGTCATTGATGGAAGACATCGACGCTTGGAATATCTTCCCATGGGGTCACTATGTTTGGAGGCTGACAGAGGACTACCTATTAAAGGGGCTCGAAGTGTTTGTCTCCAACTTGCAGAAGGATAATCGTTAACACTACAATATTTACGGATTCACGTGGGTGATACAGGTACTATCATGTAACATTTTTTAGTTTCCTTTTGACATAATAATTTATGGTTGCATTCGTTTATCATTTACAGTCTAATAATAGTTACATTTGACTTGCAGTTCTGGGGCAATGGAAGTAATTCCTGCCTTTCAAAAAATAGTTATCCCTTCTCCTTTGAAGGACAATGTCTGCCCATGTCTGTGCAAATGGTAATGTAATCAGAAGCCAAAAGACTTCTACAAGGTGGTTGAGAAGTTAGAGTCATCTTAGCATGTGAGTGAACAACTACTAATTTATGCTATGAATTTGTATAATAATTTTCTCTAAAATTTAATCACAATACCTATTTTGCAGTTGTGGGCACTTGAAACCTTGGAACCCACCTCGGATGAGGCCACACGGGAGTATTTTGTGGGCATTGATGCCACCTTATCTGAGGGCCATCAGTACGTGCTAATAGGGCACATGGAGGATCAAATGGATTGGGGTTTAGGTGCGAGGAAACAAAAGAGAAACTTGAAGGAGAAAAGAGCTACTGGTGCCATGAAGCGGAGACGCACCATCGCTGTTGGAGACGATAAGCTGTTGGGCCCTGAGTTGATGGAAGAAATGGATGATCATGGCAATGTCAATGAATAGCTGAAAAGGACAGTTCTAACGGTTTGTGTTCAACAATTCCATATGGAATCTAGCACAGCGTCGAAATTGAAACTTTAAGTCTTCATTTCTGAACTTCTTCCCCTACCTCAGGTAGATGTGTCGTACACACATTTGTTATTCAACGAAGGGATGAAGCTCACTAATAGCACTTAAAATACCTTACAACAACAAAATAAATATGGTAAATAATGAGAAGATATACAATAAAGATTAATTTATTGCATGCCTTATTTACAACTTTTTCAATCTTAATTAAATATCATACCATAGAAGAAAAGTGCAAATAGTATACTATATTCATGAGAATATCAATCAACATACTGTTTTGAAATATCATGCGCAGATGGTAGCCTATGCATGAGTTTAGTAGCTGAAATTTATGATCTTCATGGTGGAAAAGAATGCTTAGATAATTTGCACCATATGTTTATTTATTTCAATGTAAAAGCTAAACAATAAATTCATATCATAATTTCCAGCCAGTGATTATTAAAAGATTCATACAAAAGATACAAAACATACATACAGTACATAACAACATCAAATTGTATTTAAAATATTTTAATAGTCTTATTTACTATTTTATTAAAAAATTACCTTTTACATGTTGCTCATGATAGTTTATCCCATTCAGTCTTCGACACCCAAATCAGCACATAAGAGCTCTAAAAACCATTTCCAATGGTCGTTGTTCTTGACACCACTAACCACTGCCGATGCAAGGGAAAACATTTGGTTGTTCCTATCTCGACCTATAATAACCAAAATCTGTCCTTTCACTAAACCCTTCAAAAAGCAACCATCCAATCCAAATATAAGTCTGCAACCTTTTAAAAAATTATTCTTCAATGCCCCAAAGTAAATATACATTTGATGAAAAACTGTTGCCTTATCTGGTGCAGACCTATCCACCTCTATTTTAATTATTGACCCTTTATTTGTCTCTAAAAGATTATCAGCATACTATCTTAATCTTCTAAACTCCTCTACATAATTATCTCGCACTTCCTTCATTACTCTCAACTTGACTCTTCTAGCCTTTGTTAGACCAATTGCCATACCTAGTTGTTTTTCCACCAACACTCTGATTTGTCTTACCCTCAGGAATGGCATCTTGATAATATCATCTTTCAACTTATTAGCCAAAACTCTTACTGTCACTCTCTTTTTCTT